AGCAGGGAGCCCGATGCGGGACTCGATCCCAGGACGCTGGGATCATGACCTGAGCCAAAGGCAGACGCTCAACCATCTGAGCCACCCAGGCGCCCAAGCATATAACCATTCTGCATAATAAGACTGTGTCTGAGGTTAAGACCTTTCTTAGACTAAAACAAAAGGCACTAATGAATATCCTTTCATACCCCCAAACCACCACCTCCAAAGTCTTTCTCCTCTGCTCATCACCCAAGAAATAGCTTTTTAGCCTTATAACCATATAGAATCCATACTAACCAATGCAGTGAGTTTCTTAGTAATTCTACCACCCAACCAGCTAGGAAGATGTTAGACCTTCATGAAGACTGACATCAGACACCAAAAGTTTGGTTGCCTTTATTACTTACTCCATCAAGCTCAGGGGTGAAAACCCTTACTTATTTCTTTTATAACTACTCTTCCAACTTCTAAAGCTCAGATAAGCACCTTTTCATACTGTATTTTTTCTCTTTAACCATTTATTTTCTTAAAAGGCAGTAAGTAATATCTGTCACTTCAGAAGACTAGCCACTTGCCTCCTAACACATTACCTGGCTTATTCAGTTCTCCAAACAGCATACATGAAAAGTACGCTCTATGATACGGTTGCAAAAATGTAAACTAGGGAAGTCGTCTACAAAGAGAAGTACACACATACAAGTTGTGAAACCCACCACTCTATCAACTTTTGGCAGAAGAGAAAAAAATGCAAAACACATTAGCAAGGAAAAACATGTTCAAGGCTTTCAAAGTCGTTTTCAGTGATAAAGAAACTACCTACCTAAAACCACATCAGCAAAGGCCAAAGAGAGAGTAAAACTTATAACCAGAAAAATTGAATACGAAGTCATTGTACTCACTGTCTGATGGCTTCTGTCACAGTAACGCAGCCCAAAATAATCTATCTCCACAAGGTTTATGTGACGGAATACGTGGTCAAGGACAACAGAACCTTTCGTTGACTTCTGCAAAAATAATTCACAATTTTTTTTTTAACACGGTGTCTCATCTTTCTCAGTGGGACATAGTCACTATGACATAAGTCATCCAGTCTTAGCTTCGCCCACAATGGAAGCGATTTTATTAGCTCACGGTTCCCTCTTTAAGTTTTGCCTCAATTACAAAGAAAAGTGGGGTTGCAAGTGTATTAAAGAAATTCCTTTGAAAAACCATTTTAAACTGTAGTGGGTTTTTAATTAATATAAGCTTCTTTTCTTAGGGGATTGTAAATTACCTTCAGGACAAAATTCTTCTCTTAATAAAGATAATCTTTTATATGAAGAGCATCTAATGAATTCATCAAAAACCACTCACATTGGTTAAAATCCCAGTTCTTTCACTTTAAAAAGCAATTTTCACCTACAGCGTTACTCTCACAACACAGAATTAAAATAACAATAGCGAAAGCTTTTATTTTCAATCCTCAACTAATAAACCCATAGATTAAAGCTGACAAAGTTAATGTTCTGAAAAGCCCTTGTGAAGAAATTTTACTTTATCTCTTTCACATAAGCACAGATATAAAAAGAACATTTCCCCTGGCTGCTTTCTAAGATCTAATATATTAGACCCAATATATTAAATACCAATTATCATATATCTAAAGATAAACATTTATCAGCAAGCACTACTTCACATATCGTATTAATCTTGAAAATAATCCATTTCAGAGGTCTACAGATACAGATACAGAAGAAATATCTACAGATATTTCCTTTCTTTTGCCCCACCACTGGCAGGTACAGCAGGGGAGTAAGAGAAATCCCCAAGAACTCATACACTGCGTTAATGAAGTATGGCTTTGTTCAGCTGTGGTTTTCCCCAAAGAATTACTATCACTTGTTTGCTCATATATGGGGAGTACTCAAAATTGCACTGCTTTTAGAAAATGGAGTTGTAACGTAAGGGAAATGTTTTGATTAAATGTATTGTAAAATGGATAAGAGATGATAAAAGCACACACTGAGAGAAGACCGTTCTTGTTACAAATCCCAAAGGTAGTTTTGTTTCCTTCTAAATTACCTTGGTTAAGCTTAATTGGTGTCTTTTTCAAAATCCATTGGATAATTCATAAACAAAAAGCCCTTCCATGATGGATCTTTGGTTTGGGACATGTTCTCCTATAATAACAATGCCACATCCAATCAATGTTCCTTTGTGCTCATGTACTTACATGTTTAGCTAGGTAAAAATCTGGAAGTAAAATTACTCTTTCTAAGGATGCACGTACTTACAATGGGCACTGCCAAGAAGACCATTACAATGTATTCAATGAAAGTACATTTCCCCATACCTTTGCCAACATTTGGTTGAGCAAAATTCTCCCCATCTGACTGAACAAAAATGAGGGGAGAGGGTAACTGTTTTAATTCGCACTTTCCTGACACTTAACAAAGTAAGTGCTCCATCATCTGCTTACTAACCAATTGCACTTCTTAGCATTTGGGTTAGGCATTCTCTAACCTGAAGTTTATGAGCAAATTCTCCTAAGTATAATACTTGCACAATTTTTTTTTTTTAAAGATTTATTTATTTATTTGAGAGAGTGAGCATGTGTGCAAATGGGAGGGGCAGAGGGAGAAGGAGAGAGAATCTTAAGACTCCACACCTAGTGCGGAGCCTGACACAGGGCTCAATCTCACAACCCTGAGATCAGGACCTGAGTCGAAATCTAGAGTCAGACGCTTAACCGGCTATGCCACCCAGACGCCCCTGTACACTTTTACTTTGTATACTTAGCCCTTTATTCCATCTGTAAATTATTTTTGTGCTTGGGATAAGGGCCTAACTTTGTTTCCAAATGGATAGACATTTTACTGAAAAGGTCATCATTTCTCTTTTGATATGATAAAAACTTCATCATCTACTAAATTAGCCCTTAATCTTTCCCACAGATTATTCCTGAACCAATCCTCCGAGATTTTAATAATTCAGTTTTAATGTAATTTGTTGGAATCCACCATTCTTTTCTAAAATTGTCTTTGCAAATTCTTAGACATTTTTCTTTATTAGAGGACGTTTAGTAGCAGGTTGCTACTTTTTAGTTTTTATTTAAATTCCAGTATTGTTAACATACAGTATTATATTAGTTTCCAGTGTACAATATAGTGATTCAACACTTCCATACATCACTGGGTGCTCATCACAACAAGTGCACTCCTTAATCCCCATCACCTGTTTCACTCATCCCCCTCACCCCACTTTCCCTCTGGTAACCATCAGTTTGTTCTCAATAGTTAAGAGTCTATTCCTTGGTTTGTCTCTCTATTTTTCTCCCTTTGCTTGTTTGTTTTGTTTCTTAAATTCCACATGAGTGGAATCATACAGTATTTGTCTTTCTTTGACTGACTTATTTCACTTAACATTGTTCTGAGGTCCATCCATGTTGTTGCAAATGGCAAGATTTCATTCTTTTTTATGGCCAAATAATATTCCATTGTAGGGGCACCTGGATGGCTCATTCAGTGAGCGTCCATCTGACTCCTGATTGCAGCTCAGGTCATGATCTCAGGGTCCTGGGATAAAGCCCCATGTCAGGGTCTGCACTCAGCAAGGAGTCGGCTGGAGATTCTCCTTCTCCCTCTACCTTTGCCCCTCCCCCCTTAAATAAATACATAAATCTTAAAAAAAAAAAAATATTCCAGGAGTGCCTGGATGGCTCAGTTAAGCATCCAGCTTACTCCATGCTGGGACATGGAGCCTACTTAAGATTCACTCTCTCCCTCTTCCTCTGCCCCTCCCCCCCTTAAAAAATTCCATTGTGTATATATACCACCTCTTCTTTATCCATTCATCTATTGACTGGACACTTGGGCTGCTTCCATAGTTTGGCTATTGTAAGAAATGCTGCAATAAACACAGGGGTGCATATATCCCTTTGAATTAGTGTTTTTGGATTCTTTGGGTAAATACCCAGTAGTGTGATTGCTGGATTGTAAGGTAGTTCTAATTTTAACTTTTTGAGGAACCTCCATACTGTTTTCCACAGTGGCTGCACCAGTTACATTCCTACCAATGGTTCAAGAGGGTTCCCCTTTCTCCACATCCTTGCCAACACCTGCTGTTTCTTGTGTTTTTGATTTTAGCCATTCTGACAGGTATGAGGTGATATCTCATTGTAGTTATGATTTATATTCCCCTGATGTGTCTGTTGGCCGTCTGTATGTCTTCTTTGGAGAAATGTCTGTTCAGGTCTTCTGCCCATTTTTAAATTAGATTTGTTTTTTTCAAGTTGTTTAAGTTCTTTATATATTTTGGATAGTAACCCTTTATCAGATATGTCTTTTGCAAATATCTTCTCCCATCCTGTAGGTTGCCTTTTAGTTTTGTTGTTTCCTTCACTGTGCAGAAGCTTTTTATTTTGATGTAGTCCCAATAGTTCATTTGTGCTTTTGTTTCCCTTGCCTCAGGAGACATATCTAGAAAGAAGTTGCTATGGCCAATGTCAAAGAGGTTACTGCCTGTGTATCAGGTCTCACATTTAGGTTTTTAACCATTTTCAATTTATGGTTATATATGGTGTAAGAAAGTGGTCAAGTTTCATTCTTCTGCATGTTGCTGTCCAGTTTTCCCAATACCATTTGTCGAAGAACACTGTCTTTTTTTCCATTGCATATTCTTTCCTGCTTTATTGTTATTGACCATATAATTGTGGGGTTTTTTTCTGGGTTTTCTATTCTATTCCACTGATCTATGTGTCTACATGCCAATACCATACTGTTTTGATAACTACAGCTTTGTAATATAACTTGAGGTCCAGAATTGTGATTCCTCCAGCTTTGCTTTGCTCTTTCAGGATTGCTTTGGCTATCTGGGGTCTTTTGTGGTTCCATACAAATTTAGGATGCTTTGTTCTAGTTCTGTGAAAAATGCTATTGGTTATTTTGATAGGGATTGCATTAAATGTACAGACTGCTTTGGGTAGTATAGACATTTCAACAATATTTGTTCTTCCAGTCCATGAGCACGGAATGTCTTTCCATTTCCTTGTGCCGCCTTCAATTTCTTTGATCAGTGTTTTATAGTTTTCAGAGTACAGGTCTTTCTGCTCTTTGGTTAGATTTATTCCTAAGTATGCTATTATTTGGGGTGCAATTAAAAACAAAAATGTTTTAATTTCTCCTTCTGCTGCTTCATTATTAGTGCAGAGAAATGCAACAGATTTCTGTACATTGGTTTGTAATCTCTGACTTTACTGGATTTGTTTATCAGTTCTAGCAGGTTTTTTTGGTGGAGTCTTTTGGATTTTCTATATATAGTGTCATGTCATCTGCAAATAGTCAAAGTCTTACTTCTTCCTTACCAATTTAGATGTCTTTTATTTCTGTTTGTTGTCTGTTTGCTGTGGCTAGGACTTCCAGTACTATGTTGAATAAAAGAGGTGAAAGTGGACATCCTTTTCATGTTCCTGACCTTAGGGAAAAAGCTCTCTATTTTTCCCCACTAAGGATGATGTTCAGCTTGCTAATTTAATAAATAATTCTGTTGGGGTTTTGACTGGAATTAAATTGAATTGATAGACTGGATGACTTGGGGAGTAATGATAGCATATTTACAAAGTGAAACCTATATGGTTTTCTTTTATGTCCTTCAAGGATGTTTTATACTTTTTTTCATGTAGGTCTTACAAAATTCTACTCAAGCTTTATGGCAGGCAAAATTTACAAAGTGCCCTCTCCCCCAAAATAAATCCTGTTCTAATCCCTGGAGCTGATAAAATGAACTGTCAGTACTATGATTGTGTTATGTTATAGGTCACAGTTGGCCTTAATATCAGGAGATCATTAGAGTGGATCTGACCCAATCACGTGGGCCCTAACAAGCAAAACACTTTCTCCATCAAAAGAGAAAGGCAGAAGGGAAGTCAAAGATTTTTCAAAGCATATAAAAAACTCCACGGGTCCTTGCCACTTGAAAGATGGAGGGAGCATCTGAGATAGCAGTGCTAGCAGCCTCAAGGAGCTGA